CCGACCCATGCCTGGGCCCCCCCTCGATGAGTTCCAGGCATCGGAGCGGGCAGGGAACTGTCTCCTGGCCCCGCTTGCGCTCCAGGCTCGCGCCCGCGGGGGCCTCCCGGCGTTGCGGGGCCCACCTCCTGCGAGACGCGCCAGGGTTGACAGAGAGCGCGGGAGACCGCGGGGGCATCGCCGGCGCTGGGGCCGCGACCCTCGCCTCCCACACAGGCTCTCCGACAAACACCTTCACTGCCTTCGTCTAAATCCAGTTCTTGTCAGCGAAAGAGTCATCGTACGACCAGTTGTTGGTCGTCAACATGGGTGGTGTCTTCCAGAGCCATACCTCGTAGGTGAACTTCTGCGTCGGGTTCTGACCAAGGATGGCCCCGTCCACGTGCGATTGCAACAACTTTTGATTACCAGCGACAAACTCTGGGGATTGCACTTCGTCGAGGAGGATCGCCTTGTGGGTCTTTCGTTTAAAGCGATACAAATCCGGGTGCTCTGCGTGCTGCACATCTACCACGAGCGTCTGTGCGTCCCCGAACGGGTTCCGTGTCAGCCGAGATTTTGCCCGTGCAAGAGGGGCCAAGGAGAACCAGAAACGTATACCGTTCCTCCTCTTCCTCGAACTGCAACCTCCATGGGATCTGATCAGGCAGGGGCTTAAAGGGCAGCGCCTTCATTGCGATTCGCGCCCGTTCCTCCTCCTTCTCGCGCGCGCGCTTGCACTCGCGCTCGTCCGCTTCTACTGCCGCCACTAAGGCCTGGGCCCTATCGTGCCCGCCCCGGAGCTTCACCGACAGATCCAACAACTGCGCGCGGTCAAGCTTGTACTGCCTGTACAAGACCATGACCCAGGCGCGCTCCGGAGACCCAGGGCGGATAGTTTGATGCGCTCTTCAAAGTTCCTTGTTTCTTTAGCCATACATAGAAATGTCCGTGCTGCGTGGCTTTCATCCAATACCACGGGCCTTGCCCCTCGGTATTCTTGCCCACGCTCGGCTTCGCGCCCCAGAAGACCCAGGAGTCCAGAGTCCTGTGGTCCACGCCCTTGCTTCCCCCGCCGTGCCAGGAAAAGTAGCAGTGCAAGTGCACGCGGCCAGTGTCAGTTGAATGCAGGGACTCCTCCACGATTGCACTCCAGTGCGTAATGCCGAACTCCTTCTTCCGATCCTCTACCCACGCTTGGTGTGCCTGCCGCAATTCCGGGGACGCGACGAAGGCCAAGCACTTGAAGGTGAGTATGAAGGCCCTGCTTTTCAGCCGAAACGCTTTGCCCGCCTGCGCCCGGCACTCTGCGTGTCCAGGGCCCCCGTCGGGCCCGTCGTCGGCATCCTCGTCCGCTCCAGGATCTGGTAGCTCAGGAAAGGATCCGCCGCCGCCATCCTCTATCCACTGGTCCCTCGCTGCGCAGAGCTCCGGCGCCCGCTCGGCAGGCACGACGTCGCACAATGCCGTGAAGAGGTCCACCACTGCCTGGGCCGCTAGGCGGAGAGACACCGTGTCCAGCTCGAACTCCTCTGCCAGAGAGTTCAGCGCCTTCGCGGCCTCGCTTCGCCGCCCTCGCCGGGCAGTCTTGTCATCGGCCATGACTGCCCTGGCCGGCGGCTCGGGGCGACTCCGGCCTGGGCCAAATCTGCTACAGTGCGATCTGGCATTGAGGGCGCGCGGTAAGGATGCAGGGCCCTTGGCCGTCCAAGGAGAAAACCTTCGAGGGGAACATGTGCCCGGATGGACCGCAAGTGGCATCGGTGCCGGGGTGCCCTTCGAAAGCTACTCATCCCTGTGATGCGGTTTGACTGCACGGCGCCTGGCAGTCCGCGAGGCCGGAGGCCCCACCCGCGCCAATTTCCGCGCTCGAGATCGGACGCGCTTCACCTCCGCCTGCTTCCACGGCCCCGCCGCGCGTCTTCCGTGGAGGCGAGGCCCTCTCCTGCTCTCCAGGCGGCTCCTTCGGACAGCCATCGCTCTCGCGTGCATCATCGATTAACCTCCGCCTGCTTCCAGCGCCCGCCCGCCGCCTTCCGCCGCGAGGTTGGCTGCGCCTCCCACTCGCGTCCACGCATGGTTCTTTCAACCGAACAGCGCCGATGCAACAAATTTTTGGACCGCTTTCAGGCGGCTCCCTCTGACAGCTCTCGCGCACGAAGCGTCTTCGATTTACCTCCGCCTGCTTCCAGCGCCCGCCCGCCGCCTTCCGCCGCGAGGTCGGGCGCCTCCCCCCTCGCGCCGTCGCATAGCTCTTCAAGCCAAACGGCACCGACGCAGCCAGTCCTTGGACCGCTCCTGGAGCGCGCTCCGGCCAGAATTCCGACGCGAATGCAGCTGCGGCGACAGGGGCCCCCCAGGGCGAGCGGCGGACCAGCCATGTGACGTCGCATCGTGGCCTCGGCTGCCCGCGAGCCCGGCGACTCCGCGTCTCCTGCCCTGCCCCCCAGCCCTGGCCTCGTCTCCCCTCCGTGCCCGCTCCTCCCATTCAAGGGAACAATTCGCACCTGTCTGATGGGGTGCCCACCTCCATATGCGAACCCGAGGTGGCCATCGAGGAACCGTATAGGTCAACGCAGGCTTGTGGTGACACCTGGGAGCCTGAAGCCCGATGTGGACTCGAGCAGGAGCCCCGTTCTTGAGCAAACTGAGAAGATGGCTCGGGCGCTCATTCGTTTGCGAGTGAGTCGCCAGGAACTCTCGAGCGGGAGCTCCTCCCTATGGGGCCCCCACTTCACGCTGGCCATCCGAGGTGGCCATCGGACAACGCTTTGAACACACGTGCTTGCTGACCCTTGAGGGCTTCATGAGCCCCGCGGAAGTCTCGAGCGGGAGCTTCGTCCCATAACAAACTGAGAGGATGTCTGTGGCGCGCATTCGTTTGTGAGCGAACCGAGAGGAAGTCTCGAGCGGAAGCCCTTCCTCATGGAGTCTCCACTTCCGTGTTCGAATCCGAGGTGGCTATCGGGAAACTGCGTAAACACACAGGCTTGCTGACACCCGGGAGCTTGAACCCCGAGGAAGTCTCGAGCGGGAGCCTCTCCCTGTCGGGTCTCCACCTCCATGTTCGAATCTATGGCGGCCATCGGGAAAACCAAGAGAAAACACATGTTTGGTGACATTTGGGAACCTGAGCCCCAGGGAAGTCTCGAGCGGGAGCCTCATGTCTGAGCGAACTGAGAGGATGTCTCGATATCGAGCCGGAACCGCGTTTGTGAGTGAATCGCGAGGACGTCTCCAGCGGGAGACCCCTCCCTATGGGGTCCCCGCCCCATGTTGGTAATGTGAAGCGGCCATCGGGATATTGGGAGCTTGAATCTCGAAGAAGTCTTGAGCGGGAGCCTCGTTCTTGAGCAAACTGAGAGGATATCGTGGGCGATCGCTTGCATTCGAATCGCGAGGAAGTCTTGAGTGGGAGCCCCTCCCTATGGGCCCGTCTCCCTCTGTTACTCATCCGGGGTGGCTATCTCGATACCCTGTGAAAGCATAGGTTTGGTGACACATGGTGGTTTGAATATTGAGAATCGCCTCGTTTCTTTGTCGAGCGTCTTTTTGCATCCAAGGCGACTATCCTCAATCAAGCTCGTAAGCGTCGGGAACGACCAGCAGATACCAGACAAGAAGCGAGCCTCCGTAGTCACAAGGACGACGATGAGGATTACATCCAGCTTAGTTTGTAAGAATATCGTGCGGGGTCCTATCGTGGGAGTAACTTCCATCCGGCGTCGCCACTGCATCGGAGATGCTGTGCGAGCTCCAACCTCACCTACAGCTGGGGCCCATGCCAAGAAACGCTCTGCTTGCCTCCAGGGAGCCCTGAGTTTTTTGGGTTTCGGGTTTCGATGGTTCTGCCATGGAAAGCGTGACGCTCCCACACCAAAAAATGGATGGACGTCCTGGGGTCTCAGGGTTGGGTTTCTTGTGGAAGGTTTCTCGTGGTCGGGCCCCAGCTCTACAGCCAAACCGCACCAGAAGTATGAGTAACAGGATGCCCTTGCCTCGCCTCGCGGCCCATCCTAGCCTGGGCATGTCCCTCTACAGGAGGAATATCGGAAAATAGTTACAACAAATAATTTGGGGACGATATTGCGACCATGTTTGACTACATCGGCGCTACGAAAGTTTTGACCCGTCTCGCGCTTCCACCAAGATGGGTCTTAGGCGGGAGCGCCATTGCGAGCTCGAGCTGAAGAAGTGCCAACTTCTATGTTCGAAGAAGTCTTGGGCGGGAGCGCCACTTCGAAATCGAACCCGGAAGGCTCCGAATTTTGTTTCGGGGGAAGTCCTGGGCGTGACCGCCCTTTCAAGATCGGCACAGAAAGGTTTTGAATTCTAGTTTGGAGGAAGTATTGGCCTGGAGCGCCATTTCGAAATCGAACCCGAAAGTTTCGACATTGTTCGGATTTGTTTTTGGAAGTATCACGCGAAACCGGCATCTCGAAATGGCCACACCGTTTGGCATTTATAATTTTAAATTTCTGACCAGAGATTCCGAAAGTGTGGTTTTCGCTTGAGATTTTCTCCACCCCAAATAGCTTCGAACGATTTCGAAACTTTTGGGTTCGATTTCGAAATGGCGTGCCCGCCCAAGGCTTCCTTCAAAAAGCGATCTCGACTGGATCTCGAAACGGCTCGAATTTTAAATGGCGGTTCCGCCCGAGACTTGAGCAAGTCAGTGTCTGAACCGAGCATTGTATTGGGGCCCCGCGGCCTAACAGGCCCCGTTGGCGTCTCCTCTCTTGTCGCGGGCACAACGCCACTGACGGACTGACGGCGTTGTACAGGGACCCCGTCGCCTCACGGGAGGCGCTGCATGTTGGCCGAATTTTCGCAGCAGCGAAGTATTTTTTTAGTTTTCTGACTATGCTTATAATTTTTCTTCCAAAATCCGCCTGTAGGACGACATGCCCGACCTAACCTTAGCCATGGGCCATGTGCCTTCAGCTTCGGCTCCAGTTCGGGCGCCAAGGGCCTTGCATCCTTATCGAGCATCCTCAAGACCCCATGTGGGAAGCCTCCAGCGCACGCGCTGGGCAGACGACTGCCGCCTTCAGCGGAGCGACTCCAGGCCACCAGCCAGCCGCTGGACTGCTGGCACGATGGAGCCCAGCATCGCACGTCGCGCACGCCCCGGCGTGAGGCGGCCGGAGTCCCCGCCCGCCATGCCCTGGCGCTGCCGCCGAGCTCGCGCGCCTGCCCAGACGTCCGACGACGTGATTGCGAAGGCCTTACGGCCGGTGCCGCCGGCCCTGAAGGGGAGCGGCGGCAACGGCGGCGGCGGCGACGGCGACGACGCTGACGTGCGTCAGAGTCCTCATGGATGCTTCTTGGGGTCGCTTCGAAGCGCTCTCGGGGTCGTCTGGGGGACAGTCCAGGGGCCTCTTGGGAGCCTCTTGGGGTCCTCTGGGGTAGCCTCTTGGGGGCCTCTTGGAGGCCTCTTGCGCGGCCCCAAAGGTGACGACTCCGTCCCCAGGGTTTCTCGCCCGTCCCGGATCCATGTTTGATAGCGGCCGGAGGACGGCCCCTGGAGCCCGACACCGCTGGAGAGAAGCCGCCGGGAGTCCAAGCATATCACACCGCCGGAGATCTTAGAGTTCTGCCTGCTTCCCCGCCCCCGCCCCCTCCACACAGCAAAGAGGGGGCCCCGGGTGATGTGGCCCCATGGTCAGGCGACGGAATCCATACACATCCGCTGCCCTGCGGGCCAGGCCCTTCCTGGGCCCAGGAGCTGCGTACACGCCTTCCTGGCCAAGCCAGGAGGGCGTGGCGTATACACCGCTGCTGGCGTGGCCAGGGAGCGGTGGACGCGTGTGTGTGTGTGTGTGTGTGTGTGTGTGTGTGTGTGTTTGTGTGTTTGCTTGCTTGCTTGCTTGCTTGCTTGCTTGTTTGCTTGTTTGCTTGCTTGTTTGTTTGCTTGTCTGCTTGTTTGTTTGTTTGTTTGTTTGTTTGTGTGTTTGTTTGATTGTTTGTTTGATTGTTTGTTGCTGATGTGTTTGTTTATGTTGTAAGTTTCGTGGCTTGTTTTTGTTTGGGCCTCCTCGCCTTGGGGCCCATGTCTCGGCGCGCTCTGGTTTCCGTGGATTCTCTGTCGTCCTTCTGACCGCCACCCCCCTGGGCCATTGTGCTTGGGTTCTGGCTCTGCGCGAAGCGGCGCGCGCCTGGGCTGGGTATGGTCGAGCAGCTCCCTTTGCTGGCGAGTGGGCAGGGACTCCGAAGCCTTCGCTGCTGTGCCAGCAGCGCTCGCCCCGTCCGCCGCGGAGTCCCGTTCGGAGTCCAGACCCACGTCGATGATATCGGGGAATCGCGATGCAGAACCAGGTGCTGCTGCTCCCCAACGTTGCGCTCCCGTCTCCAGCCAGCCGTCCTCTGGAGTGTCGGTCCTCTCCGCGCTGCCCCGAGCAGGCGGCGGAGGCAGGTGCGGTGGAGCTGCCAGGGCAACTGCTGTGCTTCCGTCCGCCTGCGTGGGAAGCCCGTCGACGTCGTCGCCCGCCCTCCGAAGGGTCGCCGCGACGACCTCCAGGATCACGTAGTCGACGTCTTCGACCTGGGCCCCCGATCTCGCCCTGCAACTCGGCCGCGTCCACGGCGTCGCCGTCGCGTCCTCCAGGAGGCCCGCCGAGGAGATCTCGACAGTGGGCACCAGAAGCTCCGCGAGGTGGTGCGCCAGCAGGCTGGTGGCTGTAGTCAGCGCCGTGGGGCCCATCAAGAACAGTACCGCCGCGAAGGACGTCCTCGCAGACATCGGGAAGGTGGCCACGTGCAACCGCCTCCGGCGCGCCTGGGGGTGGAGGCCCCCTCTCCCAAGCCTTGGGCCTGCAGAGGCCCATGTCCGCGGCGGACGCATGGGCGAATCCGCCTGGCGGGAGACCCTGAGCGTGCCAGGCGGCGTTCTGGCGGGAGCAGCGGCTGCCCGGGACCGCCCTTCCCTGGGCCAGCAGCACCAGCGCCGGCGCGCCTCGGGCCTGCGCGTGGGACAAGATGGCCGCCTCGCAGGCTGCACGGCGCCGCTGTCTCGCCGCACGACGGGCGGCGGTAGCGCCGAGCTCGGCGATGTCGCGCCGCCTGGCATCCGAAGGCCTCCACGCGCTCGGGCAGCCCCTTGCTCCCCCAAGTCCCTCACGCTCGCCAAGTTGCCCCGTGAATCTGGGTCTTGGGGTACGCCGAGGGACCAGGTCCAGGAGCAGGGGGCCTGCGGAAAGGCATGATCCAAAATGGCTACGGAGGAGGAGGGAGGGGAGGGGGAGGGGGAGGGGAGGAGGGAGTAGGAGGAGGAGGAGGAGGAGAGGAGAGGAGGAGGAGGAGGAGGAGGAGGAGGAGGAGAGGAGGAGGAAGAGGAGGAGGAGAGGAGGAGGAGGAGGAGGAGGGAGGAGGAGGGGGAGGAGGAAGGGCCCCGCCTGTCGGGCCGCCGAATCCGAGGCGCCGAAGCAGCCGCGCGCCGCGCGGCGCTGCATCGCGCGTGGGCGCGAGGCGACGCGCTGCCTGCCCGCAGGGCACGGCGCGCAGCCAGGGCCGCTGTCGCGACGCGCGGCGCAAAAGCTTCCGCAGCGTGGCCCCGCCCCTCTCGGGCGAAGGGAGCTTTTTGTCGCCGCGCCGTTGGCTGCGACGCGCGGCCTTGCGTCTCCCTCCTCCTCCTACTTCTCCTCCTCTCCTCCTCCTCCTTCTGATCCTCCTCCTCCTGATCCTCCTCCTCCTCCTCCTGATCCTCCTCCTCCTCCTCCTCCTCTCCTCCTCCTCTCCTCCTCCTCTCCTCCTCCTTCCCCACGCCACGACAAAGTGGCTGGGTGGCCCGGGGGACGAGATATATGCGAAGCAACCACCCCCAGTCAGGCCCGTCCGTGGCCCCCAGGGTCGGCGCGTCTGTCTCCCGGGCCAGGCCGGCGCCGTGGTTTGACATCGCTCGGACGTGTGCATTCTATCTCGGCGAGGATTATATTGGATCATCGAGCGACAGAACTATGCGCACGAAGACGGAACATGCACGGAAAATGGACGTCCGAGCGATGGCGAGGTGGGGGGGCGACTTGGGCGGTGCGGTGCGGCGCGGGCGGATCCGAGCCAGGAGTCCGGGCCAAGAGAACTGTGCACGTGCGCCGATCCTGGCCAGGTCCATCCTGGCCAAAGATCGGCGCGTCTGCCTTGCTGGCCGAGGTAGGAGGGCGCATGCACCGATCCCGGGCGCGCACGGCCCCCTTGCCTCCAGGAGTCTGGGGCACCCCGCCCCCGACCGCCTCGGCGCGCGGCGGCGCGGCGCGAGCGAGCGCGCCCGCTCCGGCGATGCGAGCCGGAGTTGGGGGTGTTGTTCGGGTGTTGCTTGGATCGAAGAAGAAGACAACGCCATACACACAAGCTTGTGGCGCTCCGCGCGGATTTCTCGGATCTGCGCTGGACCCCCTGAGCCGCTTTTTCTTCTTCCCAGGATGTCCAAGGAAGCCCCCACGGCCTCCAAAGCACCCCCTCGCGAGGCCCAGGGAGCCCGAGGCGATCCAAAATGAAACGACATGCTTGGGGCACCTTGGGCCAGGGGCACCTCTAGCAATCCCCGAGCTGTGGGGGTTCAGTGCGGTCTCTGAGGGACCGGGCGGCTCAGACGCGCGCGCGGGTCTGCTGCTTCTCGCACCTTTGCCCCGTCGCTGCGCGCAGGGCCGCGACGCCAAAAAGGGCGTCGGGTGTGGGCTCGGCTCGCAGCGATACTCACGTGCATATCGCTCGTCATACCTGGGTAACAGGGGCGAGGGACTTCTGCGAACCATCTATAGTAGCTGGTTCCCTCAGAAGTTTCCCTCAGGATAGCTGTAAGGCGGGCCTCGGGGCGCCCCGCTCGTGCCGGAGCCGTCGGCCCCATCACCCGTCGTGCAGAGCCCCCCCCCCCACACCACATTTCATGAGGGGGAGGAGGAGGAGGAGGAGGAGGAGGAGGAGGAGGAGGAGGAGGAGGAGGAGGAGGAGGGAGGAGGAGGAGGAGGAAGGAGGAGGAGGAGGAGGAGGAGGGAGGAGGAGGAGGAGGAGGAGGAGGAGGAGGAGGACGAGGAGGAGGAGAGTGGGGAGGCGGCGGGCTGCCGACCTGGGCGGTGCGGGCGCGCCTGGGGGAGCGCCTGGGGGAGCGCTGGGAGCGCCCGCGGTAGCGCCAGACGGCGCGCCCGCTCCCGGCGCCGGTCACCGCTCGAAAAACAGCGCCCGCCGCCCCGAGGCACGCGCCCGCCGCGCGCGGCAGCACCGCCGCCCGGAGGCGTTCCCGCTCGCCCAAGACGGCCCAGGAGAGGCCTCCGAGAGGGCTCCAAAGTGGCCCAGGAGGGCCCCAAGAGGGCCCGAACGAAGCGAGTCATTCTGGGCCCGAGGCTCCGTGCTCCTTCAATAGCAGGCACGCGGATGGCTTCCCCACGGCGGCGTGTCCTTGATGCCGCTGCTGCTCCCCGAAAGACGGCCCGGGAGGCGTCCGGGAGGCCCCGGCGACGGCTTCGAGAGGGGCGCAGCTGGGGGGGGCCGAGCGGACGGCTCGAGCCCTCGGCCCCGAGGGGGGCCCCAGGAGGTCCCGCGGCAGTCGAGACGCTGGGCGGCCTTCGCCTGCCTCTTTGTGTTTCATTCTCCCCCCCCCCCTACAGTCAACCCGCATAGCAAGGACGGGCAACCTTCCCAAGAGTACTCTTGCATCCTTGCCCCTTCGGCCCATGCTTAGCGACTTTCGCTGGCCAGCCTCGTTGGAGAAACGGTGACGTGGCCCTCCAAGGCCCTTGCATCCTTACCGCGCATCCTTACGATGCGGGTCGACTGTATGCCATCATCTGGTGCTGGGGCCTCGTTCTGGAGAGGCAGCGCCCCGCGTCATCTCCCCAGAGGTCCGACGCTGCAAACAAAAATGGGAGCGGCGGGTGTGGGGCTGGTTTCGGCCTCTGTGTGCCATCTCCGGGCCTCGGGACCGTCGAAACATTTTTCAGGACGAAGAACTGGCCCTGGGGACGTTCTGGGGCCGTTTTCCGCCTCGGGGGGCCCTCGCCGGGCCTCGGGACCGTCGAAAAAGTATTCGGGAGGAAAGATTGGCCCTAGGGAAGTGGTCCAGACCTCCTGGGCCCACGCATCGAAAAAGTTGAAGCGGCCGGATGTCTGGGGCAGCTCACGTCGCCTCCTTCCCCCTCCTTCCTCCCGTCCCTGCCTTTGCCCTCAGCCGTCCGCATGTCCATGTCGGTACACCCCTCACACGTTTCGTAGCCCCTCAGGGAGCTCCACCGAAGCCCCCACGGGGTGGTGGCACATGCGGTCCCTCGGCCCATTTCGGCACACCCTTCACACATTTCGTGGCCCCATATGGAGATCCCCCTTCGTCCTAATTTCCTTCGGTCCTTCGCCTGGGTAATTCCCTACCAGCGTGTCGCGGGAGGGTTCGGAGCAGCAGAAGAAGCCACAGAAGAGTTCCACAGGGGAGGCGGGGAGTCCGAGACCGCCCGGTCCGGCAGCCGCTTCGCCCGAGGCGTCCTCGCGGTTGATTCATGAATCGTGATCTCGCCGCAATGCCGGCTGCGCGTCTGGCCTGCACGGCAGTGGCCCCTTGGCAGAGCCCCGAAGCATCCGGGGTAGCTCAAGTCGGGGCCGACTCGGGCTCGTTATTCGGGATTCCGAGCCCGAGTTGCCCCGTGCCCGAGTCACCCCGGACAATTCGGGCGTCCAGAGCCCCACAGCATGAGGGATAACTCGGGTCAGGGCTAACTAATTAGGGCTCGTTTTTCGGGACTCCGAATCCGAGTTGCCCCGTGCCCGGGCTACCCCAGATAATTCGGGCGTCCAGAGCCCCACAGCATGAGGGATAACTCGGGTCAGGGCTAACTAATTAGGGCTCGTTTTTCGGGACTCCGAATCCGAGTTACCCCGGGCCTGAGTTGCCCCGGATAATTCGGGCGTCCAGAGCCCCACAGCATGAGGGATAATTCGGGTCAGGGCTAATTCGGGCTTGTTTATCGGGATTCCGAACCCGAGTTACCCCGGATAACTCGGGCGCCCGACCTTGTAATAAGTCACTGCGGTGCACGCGGCCGCGCTCTCACACGTTTTCGCTAGGCGACCTCCTTCTCCTCGCCCGCGCCTCTTCATCGTTGCTGCTGTTGGGGTGCCTTGCTGGGGTCACTCGTCCGCTTTGGGCTTCTCGTCGCCACGGACGGATCCGCCTCGGAGAACCGGCCAGGGTGGGCCCTGGGAGGGGTCCAGGGACCGCTTTGGAGCGCAGTGGGGCTGGGCGGGGCCCCTTTCGCCCCTCGCGGGCGTGGATGGCAAAGACCGTGTCTCGAGGAGGGGCAAAAGGCGTCAGCCTGAGCTTTCCAGACGAAAGACCTCGCGGCGAGCGCGGAGGAGGAGTGGGGGCGTACGTAGGGTGAGGAGTAACAAGTCTGGAGACCACGAACGAGGACGGCACGGGAATATGAGTAGAAGAGGAGGAGGAGGAGAAGGAGGAGGAGGAGGAGGAGGATGAGGAGGACGAGGAGGAGGACGAGAAGGAGGACGAGGAGGAGGAGGAGGAGGAGGAGGAGGAGGAACAGGACCGGTGTAAACCCAAGATTCATCAGCGATGTTGGAATAAACCCTCCTTCCAAGCTCCCTCTTCATAGGCCCAATCAGGGTTCGTTTCCACTGATGGAAGTGCCCCGTTGGGAGAGAACCGTTCAAAGACCCTGAACCGTGCCAAAGCACCATTCTCGGCGCTCCAACGCCACAAATCAACGTGAACGTTGCGTCTTGACGATCCTGAATCGTGCCAGAAGACCATTTGCGGAACTTCAACGCCGAGAACTGTTGCGCCCTGACAATCCTGAGTCGTTCCAACACCGCGAACTGTTGCGCCGTCGTTTCTGGCATGCTGACAATGAAAGTCTGTGAAAATCTTGCAAATGTGCGCGGCGCGAAGGCGAGAGTCACATTTTCCCGGAAAGGGCGTGGGCCCAGGGTTCTCTTTTAGAGGTTTACCCCCGGATCTGACGGCTGTAGGGCTGGCGAATTTCTTCTGCGATAAATAACGAGGTCGCGCAGGGCCGGCGAATTAAAATTTGAGGATGTCTGGAGCGAAACGCTTGTTTCTCAGAATGTGTTGAGGATGTCTCGAGCGGAACGCTTGTTTTGTGTTATAGATTGTCCTCTCCTGGGGACCTGAATTCAAAGGATCTCTCAAGTGAAATGCTTGTTGTCACGTGCCCAGGTCTTGAGGATGTCTCGAGCGAGACGCTTGGTTTCACGCCTCCAGGTTGCCCAGACAGATGTCTAGCATGAGGATTAGTTGAGGATGTCTCGAACCAGAGGCTTGTTTTCACGTGTCCAGGTCGGCCAGGCTGATACCTAGCATGAGGATGTGTCGAGGAAGTCTCGATCGATACGCTTGTTTACACGTGTCCAGGTTGCCCAGGCGGATGTCTAGCATGAGTACGTGTTGAGAACGTCTTGAGCGAAACACGTGTTTTCACGTGTCCAGGTCGCCCAGGCACAGCACAGCCCTCGGCACGGTACATCAATATCGATACCCTAAGCATTGCAGCCTGGCATGTTGCTTGGCACGTTCCGCGGAGCGTCCCGTGGCGAGTCCCCGTGGCACGTCGCGCGGTGCATGTCCATTGGCACGTTCCGTAGCGCGTCCCCTTGGCACGTCCCGCGGT